AAAAAAAAGAAGAAAAGAAAGGGGGTGAGCATCGGTTGTTGTTCTCTGCCATTGCTGAAGCCAAGCTTCAGCAATGCAAGAAAAAAAAAGGAAGAAGAAAAGTCGCCAGCAAGTGCTGGTGACATTTGACTTGATTGGAAGGTTGGCTGAAAAAAAAAAAAAAAAAAGAACTGCTAGCGACAGAGGCCCAATTAGAAAGGTTGGCCGAAAAGTTTTGGCCAACCAAACCAAAAAAAAAATAGTAGTAGTTTAGTGATTGCCCAATAGTTAAATTGTAGGTATTACTAGCCCACATTTTTTATGGACTAACATGAGAATTAAATTTCAAGTTTCAACATAAAATGAGTGTGGGTTTTAAAAGGCTTAGTCATCCAGCCTTACACTTGTTTAATTAGATATAAAATATTTAAATAGAAGCCTAAAACATTTTATTCTACTGTTAGTAGATTAAGCTATATAATATAAGATAGGTTTTAGATTTTTTTTAAATGCATAAAAGAATAACAATAATAATAACAATATAGATATAGATGAAGTAAATTAAAGATATAAATGAAAATAAATAAAAATATAAATACAAGTAAAATAAACTAAAATGATAATAATAAATCAATATATATATATATATATACATATAGATATAAATAATAATAACACCTAAACATGCGCAAAAATGGAAGTAAGCAAATCTCTAGGCTGAGTATTCAGTAGTTGGTCATTACATGTACTTGTTATGAGCTGATATGAAAAGACTTATGAACTGATATGAAATGATTTATGAACTGATGTGAAGGGACTTATGGATTGAGATGAAATGATTTATGACTTTACGATTTTTCATGTATAGTTATCAATAAGATGCTTTTAAATTGCTTGCTACTCGTTACTACTGATTGTTTTATAAACAACGTTACTTTCGTGATTATGGATATGAACGATATGCAAATGATTTGATTTATATCTATATATGTAACTATAAAGTTATGAGTGCATAGTCCAACAGAGGGATAGATATTACCTACTGAGCGATTTGTCACTCAACCCACTTTTTACTATTTTTGTAGGTTCTGAGGAATATAAATTAATTTACGTAGAAGACCCTGAGAACGACTTTTATTAGTTTTTAAGCGAATAGAAGTTAGCAAACTAGCTACTTCTAGTTGTTAGTTTTATTTATTTATTTTTTCCGCTGTTTCAACCAGAGAATAAATGTACGAACTTATTGGATATTCGTAGACTATCCTTCATATGAGATTTGCACCGCACTTTATCTAACTACATTATTTAGTACTTTTAAAGTTTAGTATAGTATGATGTAGCCTTGTATTCTTGAATGGAACTTGGGAATATGGTGGATGTCCTGTGACGGGCACGTGCGAACTCGGGACGTGACATTCAAGGTCAGGATTGGAGGATGATTTGAAACCCGATTGAGACGAAATTTATCCACACGATCCTCTCATTAAATTCTACTCATCTACTAGTTTAGATTTTGGATTTTCTCTTTGTTTGGTAACACCCTTCCAAACTCACTTCGTTGATAGTTGTAGTTTTTTGTGGTGATTTTATAGCGATTTAACTTGGTTAATATTCGTGATGGTATTGTCATCTGGATATTATATATAGACCTATGTATTCCCATTATTGTGACAGTGGAGATTTTTTTTATTAAACTAGGTCTCGTGATTTTTTCCAATTTGAATTTTTCACATAAAAATCTTGGTGTCCTGTGTCTTTTATTTTTCTTACATTTTGTTATTACTGTTGACATTATTATTTGGTGATTTGATTTATTCCTATTTTAACTAGTACTTGGAGAATGAGTAATTTGTCCTGAACTAACTTTAATATTGGGTACTTGCACCGGTACCCCTTTCCCAACATAATCAAATAAGTGTAAATAGGTAAATAACTGTGGAATGCCAAGAAATTGCAAGATGGAGGGAAAAAACAATCAGTATCTGGTGAATATTATGTTAATGCAGCAATAAAATTGTCAAAGAAATTAAAAGAAAACTGATCAATTACATTAAATTTGTTAATTGAAACTTGAAAGTTCATGATTTTCGCTAGATTTACATGTAGACATCAATTATTCTGCTCCATTCTCCTCCTTTGGTGACCAAGTACAATTTTTTTGGGAACAGTGAAATTTTAAGTTGTTAAGAAACTCGGAAAAGGAACTTGGAAGTACACTGTTACCGGAAAAAAATGTTGGCCTGGTTGACGTTGAAGAAGTAAATCGAAATAGTCCACTTTTCGGGGTTCCTTGCTGGCTTAATTTGAAAGCGTGGAGCACTTCTGTGAAACAGACATCCACAGAGAAACAATTGCTTGGGAGCTCAAGAGGCGCATGCCTAAGTGCAAGATTGCTGTCCTCTGCAAATCTAAATAGTTTCTTTTCTTTTCCCCGGCTTATCTTGATACTCCTTGGCAATTTTTTGATCAGGGCAAGGATTCTTGATACCTGATACCTTCCCTCTCATTGATTTGAAAGAGGAAATGGGTCATTTTCAAATGCTTTTTCATCAGTCGATGCCTTAATACAGTGACAGAACTAGGAAATTTAATTTGAGGGAGCAAAATACTTCTACAACTCTGCAATCACTATAAATTTCTTGAAAAACTGGGGAAGGGGGGAATAGCTTAATATACCTAGGATTTTTTTTTATTCCCAAACTTTTAAAGGAAAAAATATGAATTTCTAGAACTTGGGATTGGTGGCTCTTGCCTCCTCATCTCCCCCGGTTCCACCCTGGCCTCATTGCACTGGCAAAGAACTCAAGCCTTAATTGTGCTTGAATACTTTGATTGTGGAAGTTTTGTCATTAACAGCTCCAGCGCTTCTCATGGATGATCATAAATAAATATAACATCACTGGATTCGATAATGCCAAATTAAAAGGAGTGGTTGAACATCTCCATTAACGCTTTTACTTGGGAATGGCATCGACATGCTATTCTTTCTCCTGAGATTTCTTGAATGCAGTAATTGATTTGCTGATGTAGAAAAATTCTCCACGATAGCAGCATTCAAGTAACCAATTGTTAGATGGTTAATTTTGCATTTTATTTGCGAATATTTCCCTTTTATTGTGGCAAAATATAGTGTTAAGTGCTAGATTCTATACTTTGTGTTTGTTGCTGTCTCTGGGAAATTTTGAGAGTAATTAGAACTAAAAGGTGAAATTTGCAGAAGACTTTATCTTGTAAGGCCTGGACACGTCTTAGAGGAACAAGTGGGAGCTCAAGTCCACGGAAGTCTTTGGAATTATATCTGCTGTCACATGGTTATCATATTAGTCACGGAATAGGAGTTTCCAAGTGGCCAGGACTCCATAGGATTTATTTGGAAATCAATTGATATATTATGTGGATTGTTTATTATAAGTAAGTGTCTTATCCTTTTTAGTGGGGATTAATTGGTTTTCTTTGAGGAGATTAGAAACGACAAGCCAGAAATGATTGACGACTCTCTGGCTTTAGCTTTTCCTTCAGTAGAACAAAATAGCCGATACTATCTTTTCTTTGTTTTCTCTACAATAACAAATCCTAACATATCTTTAGCTGCGATTCAACCATGAGGCATGGCTAAATCTCTAATCTAGTCAACAGAATATCAAAACTTTTGTTCAACGAATACTGGGAGATTTAATTTGTTCTTATTGTTTCATTTTTGTATAAATATTTGCATATTCTCTATTCGTTATTGACATGATTATTTTTTACTATTAAATACTTGATCACTATTTAATTTTTAGAATAATCTGATATCATCTAAATTAAAATATCAAATCCGTAATTATTTGGTAGTTTAGTATCTATGGCAAGTGATATAATTTCATTGTAGTTGAAACTTTCGGATTATTACCATAGGAATATACAATCTAGCTTAAATGAAGTGAGCAGATACATTTGTTAGTTAGAACTAGTAGCTTTTTTAATAATTAATGTTGTTAATAAATTAAATCCTAAGAATTGTTTAGGATTATTTAATTGGCAAGAGAAATAATCACAGAACTTATTGTAGTTATCGAAGAAGTAAGTAGGGATAGGTTATTAGAATTTGTTGACAACCATAACTAATTTGTTTATAAATAATTGATTTATATCTTTGCATTGATGATGAGTAAATGAAACAAACTGACGATTAAACCTATGACTAGAGGCTTGTTTCATATTGGTTTATTTTTACTTAATTTTGTTATTTTTCGTTGATTAAATTACTTAGGTTAATTTTTTCCAAAATCCCCCATCTTATTTATTGTTATTTTTATAAAAAAAATAAATCATCCAATCCTGAGAATAAGACCCTACTCACAACTATATTTGAATTTAAATTTTTTGGACCGGGAATTTTTATATTTGCAAACCCAACACTAATTCTACAAATATCGGTAAAAATGATTGATATTGTAGTGGAAGACGACGACTAAGGACTTGGGCATGTGTGTTCAGGGGTAAGTCATAGTCCCATTCTGCATGGCTAGTGTGCGGGAATACAACATTATTGTTTTTATATGATTTTAGAAGCTTCTGCATGTTATTCTATATTAAGAAGCCTAGCTATAAGGGAAATTTTGGGAAACTAAAATTTGGTCACCGAAATTTGTAAAGTTCTCCCAAGGTTAAATTGGAATTCTGTTTTGGTTTTGTTTTTGTTTTTGTTTTTGGGCCTTCTTCACCACAAAATTCATGCTCAAATGGTATTTGATTGATTAAGGGGAGACTGAATGCCATTTTCTCAGACTGCTAGCTCAGATTAGTAACCACCAGACCAGTACTAATTTTGCTGTATTATAACACATCTTGATTTATTGCCATGATTTTAAACGAGGCCGATTAAGAATTTGGAGGTCTGTATTTTGATTTCCACTGCCATGATGGAAAACATGAGACAAATGGTGATCGGAGAACAAGAAGTTCAGCAAAACCATTTCTATGAAAATGGTTGGATTTCCAACCCGCCCAACAACAAAAAAATAAACAGAGTATATATATAAACTCTAACAGGGCACAGCGTTTTATTTATTTAATACATGGGGTGCATTTTGCCGGTACAAATGCACCTTTTTCAACATCTCAGCATTACATCTGAAACATCCATACTTCCATACTTAATTTAGCACAACGGTAGATACTTAATATAGCATACGTAATCTTCAGCCCTTGTTCTCAGTAACTCATGGCGACGGTTCAAATTGTAAGAGCTGCTGGCACCCAGTGTTGTATTCGATAATCACTGCGTAGTAGCGGCCCAACTTGCCTGTGCTATCCTTAGCTGAAATAAGGAGGCAGTAGGTGGAACGATCGTCCTCGGTTTTCTGTATGCCAGAAAGCACAGCCACAAACACCAGCTGGTCCTTGGTCTGCTTGTTGTGCTCATCCACTGCAAACGCTCCGAGCTCTTGAATGTGACGGTCGAGAGGATTCACTGGAGTCCAATCATCAGGCACAGCAGCATTGCCCTGCAAAAGTGTCAACCAAAAAACTTGAGAATATATAATTCTAGATCCCAAATATTGGAGCACTCGGCAGAAACTCAATCTAACAAAATTAAGAATCAAATCTTCCCCTCCCGTTAAAAAAAAAAAAAAAAAAGTGAAAGTTTGATACGAGGAGATCGAAAGCTGAGGAGTTACATTTATCGAACCTTGTAACAAGGTTGAAGGAATTTTATAGCAATATACTAGAATCTAGTCAAACCCATAGACAAAACCAGTCCAGATAAATTGGGTCTAGGAGTATTATTAATTCACCTGTCCTTGCTTCTGTCCTGCTAATTGATTCAGTGCACCAACGACGAGGGCAGGCTTCAATCCCTGCACTGATTTCCATTAAGAAACAGACATTTCAGTACGAAGAAAATATAAATGCTGCACATTCATTTTATGGGGAAATATATAAATGCATGCATGCAAAACGCAGAGAATAAAACATACTCGGGTTTTTTGCCACGCCAGCCACTGGGAAGTTGGCTGCCACTGCTGCCATATTTTTACGCAAAGAGTAAGGAGAACAGATTATTGCACTTGGTTGGGATTGGCGAAGCTCGATTGCTGAGTATGAATGTATGAAAGAATTGAACCAACTCCAAGAATTTATAGGCGATGTTGTGGACCTAAATGTCCTCTATGCCCTTCGGAAATTGGGAATCAATACTTCCAGAATCATTCGTTATTTCTGCTTTTAACTTTAGGAAAATTTAGAACTTTGATTGAGTCTGAGTTTATGAAGCCAAAAAATAAATTATTTCATCATTTACCGCGCACAGCATTGAGTGTATAATTGTCTCACTTTCTCTATTTTCATTCAAGTGATTAATATATATATATATATATATATATGTATATGATTATATTATTGTCATTAGTCACTAAGACAATGATATGGGTTCTTTTTAATCGTCCACGTCTTGAGGTTAGATGGAAAGCATGAAGTCCTTTTTTAAAGTAGGCATTCACTTGGGAATCATATCCCTCTTGTGAAATGGACATTCACTTCGGAATCATATCACAATTTTAGTAAAAACCAGGGAATTTCCCGTTCTGTGGGATGAGAGGTATATGCCAAAGCAAGACTCTTTATCCCGTTCCCAGTCAAGGTTTGCCGCTTGTCTTAAGATGCCTTATCCATCGACTTAAAAGGGGGCATGGTACATTTCCTTGCGAAATGTCTTTAGTATGAACTGATTCTTTTTTATAGTAAATAACTCTTCCCTTCCGTATTTCTCAATCCTTAAGTAGTTCCCATATTTATTTTTCTTGATTTTCCAGCCTTGAAATTTCCATTTGTTAAATTCCTCTTTCTCTTTCCTGCACCATTAAATCCCACCCCTTGACTACTGGTTTTTTTTTTTTCTAAGATATGTGCATAAGGCATGTTTTTTTTATTGACAAGGGCACTGCAGTAACTATCCGAGAGTGCATACTGGATTCCGCCACGTGCAATAGCCCGCTAACCACACGGAGGGATAATACATACTAGGCAAGACGTGTGGAATAGACAAATATCTCAAGAGAGGTTCGAATTTGGATTGATAAGAAGGCATGATACCAATTTTACTATCTCGGCTAACTCAATGGAGGAAAAAGTAAGCCATGTTTACTGAAGAAAAAGTAAGAACTTAGTTATCCTACCAATGTGCTTTTTTTTTTTTTGAGAGATATGAAACAATATGAAATAATAGCATTTTTTTTTCTAACTTCATTTAAACCTCATCCACCTGTTAAATTTAAACTCAAAATATTGAAGTTTGAGTTATAAATTTAGGTCCACTGTTCCAGTGCATGTCATCATTATAGGTGTCATTCTTTTGCCAAAACGGGAATTCACTTGGGAATCATATCCCGCTTGTGAAATGGGCATTCACTTAGGAATCATATCACAATTTTAGCAAAAATCAGGGAATATCCAGTTCTGTGGGATGAGAGGTATATGCCAAAGCAAGACTCTTCATCCCTGTTTGCCGCTTGTCCTAAGATGCCCTATCCATTGACTTAAAAGAGGTACATGCCAAGTTGGTTCATTTCTGTAATGACTAGCTCAGCCATTAGAAAAGATTGAAGTGCAGTCCATGCAATCCGTTGAGTTAGTTAGAGGGAATATTCTTGTAGTTAGTTTGTTAGTCTGTTATTGCCTAGTCAGCATGCAGCCAAGGCATCATTTGCATGCAGCTAGATATTATCTGAGCTGTATATAAGCAAAAGGATCCGAAGGAGAAAGGGACTTTTGGCATTTGAATATAATCTCAGTCTCTTCTTTCTCAAGTCTTCTTCCTTCTTCTCTTTTCTTTCTAACTCCATTATAGTGGTATCAGAGCTTCCGATCCTTGGATTTGGGAGCCTGATTCACAGCCATGGCAGAAGGTACACATCTTAAAACAATTGAGGAGCAGGTCTGAAAGCAAGAAGCTAAGTTGCAGACATTCATGGAGTCTACCAGCGAGGCTCTAAAATCCATGGAGGAGAAGATGCTGGCTAACTCCACAGAGTTTAAGGCTCTAGTAGCCAGCATTTCGGCGTAGATTGGAGGGATTAACAGGAATCCACAACAAGAAAGAGGACTCCTAGCCACCCCTACAAGTTCCTTGCAAGGCAATTCCAGGCCAGGGCAGGTGCATCAGGAAAGAGGAGAACGCAATGCCTTCATCCTTGGGGTGCCCAAGCTAGAGTTCCCCAGATTCACAGGAGAGCAGGTAAGGGATTGGATTCAGAAATGCGAGACTTTCTTCCATCTGTATGGCATATTGGATTCGCAGAAGATGCTGATTGTAGGAATGCACTTGGAAGGGAGGGCGAATGTCTGGTTCCAAAGTTTCAAACAGGATAAGAGGACATTTGGATGGGAAGCGTTCAAGGAAGGAGTGAGTTGCAGATTTGGAGACCTAGGGGATGAGGATGGAGTCGAGGAATTCAACAAACTGCAGCAATTCCCCACAGTAATGGCTTATCAGGAGAAGTTTGAGGAATTGAGAGCCATAGTGCTGCTCAGGAATCCGGGGTTGAGTGAGAGTTATTTTGTTTCCAGCTATTTGAGTGGATTACAGGAGGAGCTCAAGGCACTGGTCAAAATGCACAAACCTCAGACCCTACAAGAAGCCTTCGAGGTCGCAAGATGGCAGGAAAAGGCATTGGAGGTAATTTTCAAGAAAACCAAGGCATCTAACAGGCTTTTTCCTCCTTCACAGATGAGTTCCAGTGGAGGAATGTCTACACACAGACCACTGTAATGATTCCGCAGGAAATAAGACAAAAATAGTTAACCAAATTCTGTTAGCCAAATACTACCTTGCTGGAATTGTTATAACGGCTACCACTTGCAGAAGTTGGTTATTGATTAGTTAGTGAGGAAGCTTTCTATTAATAGGCCAATGCTAATGTAAAGATGCATGCGATATTTTGATCATTGTGAATACAACTTTCCCGCTACTTTCTATTCAGTCTGCTTCCCCCACTTTTCCTCTCAACTTTTCTCTTCATCTCTTTCTATATTTCTGTTCCTTAGCTGAATCAACCAATTCCCAACCATTACATTTGGTATCAGAGCTTGCGTTCCTCGGAATTGCAAGCTCCAATTTAAACAACAATGGCGGAAGGCACCAGAATGAAGGGATTTGAAGAATCGCTGAAGAAGCAAGATGCGAAAATCCAAGCTATCCTCGAATCCAGTACAATCGAATGCCAAGCCTTGGAAGAAAAGATGGAATCTAACTACATGGATATGAAGGCTCTGGTGGAAGCAAACAATGTTGAACTAAAGGAAGAAATGAAGAATTTCATGGTCACGATGAGTGCTCAATTCAATAGCTTCATGAGGAGCTTGCAGGGGGAAAAAGGAATTCTAGGCCAATCTGCTAATTCATCTGAGCGCCATCTTCATCAAACACTTAGGAAAGGTCCAGAAGGAAGCAATCCTTTGTTGGGAGAGAAGAGTCGTTTCGCAATCGGAGTTCCCAAATTGGAATTCCCCAGCTTTGGAGGCTCCAATCCTCGCGAATGGACCCGGAAATGTGAGAAGTTTTTTCAACTATACCAGATTCCAGAAGGTCAGCAATTGGATGTAGCTGAACTGCATCTAGAAGGCAAGGCTGACCTATGGTACCAAAGCTTTAAGAAGGATCGAGGAGTAGTGCAGTGGGAAGAGTTTGCCTCAGAACTTTGTAGACGATTCGGGGATATAGGAGGAGAAGACGTGGTTGAGGAGTTCAACAAGTTGTACCGGGATTCATAATTATTGGCATATCAGGAAAAGTTTGAGGAATTAAGAGCTGCCGTCATGGTGAAGCTCCCTCTCCTTTCTGAGTCATATTATGTTTCTAGTTTTTTGAGTGGACTAAAGGAGGAGATCAAGGCTGCTGTGAAGATGCACATGCCCCAGACTTTGCAATCAGCATTCGAAAAGGCTAGGTGGCAAGAGCAGTATTTGAGTATCATCTTAAAGCAGAATAAAACACCAGTGAAGGTATCTCCACCAATTTCTTCTGGTAGCAGACATACTCACCTTAATGATCTGAGCCACAAGAAACCTGCAGCTCAGGTGTTCGAGAACAGTATTAAGAAGGATTCTCCTCAAGGCTATAAGAGAATCTCTCCTACAGAATTTCAGTATAGGAAGGATCACAACCTGTGCTTCAGATGTGGGGGAAAGGTTTTCCCCTGGACATATCTGTAAGAATAGAGGTATACATTTAGTGCTAGCAGATGAAGAAGGATTGCTGGACACTGAAGTAGACGAAGAAGAAGGAGAAATTATTGAGTATCAAGGGAACAAGTCTGGCAGAGACATAGCCTTCTCACTACACTCAGTCTCAGGACACATGTTTTCCAATACCATTAAGATGCTAGGACACTTTAAGGGGCACAATTTATCCATTCTGCTAGATGGGGGGAGTACCAACTGTTTTATTAGATCAGCCATTGCTCAACTACATCCTGATTGTCTGCAGAATCATAAGCCTTTCAAGGTGAGGATAACGGATGGAAAGGAGTTAACATGCAATCAGTGGATTCCAAATATGAAATGGGATATGCAGGGACACAACTTCACTCAGAATGTATATGTGTTAGACTTAGAGCCATATGATTTAATTCTCGGGGTAGATTGGATGAAACATTACGGTCCAATGACTTTTGATTTTAAGGAGCTAACATTATCCTTTGATAAGGAAGGTGAAACTGTGTTGCTGCAAGGGGATGCACACACGGCCAAGGTGAGGATGAGGCAGGGGACAGCAGCACAAAAGTATATCAGGAACAAAATCAGGACTTCTTTGTAGCACTCTTGCATGATCAGAGTACAGCACAATCAGGTAACTCCTGTACCAAAATCTATTACTCAATTGCTTGGCCAATACCAGGACATCTTTAAGGAACCTACGTCTTTACCCCCTGTCAGAGAACTAGACCACCAAATACCCCTCATGCCTGATGCTAAACCCTTCAAAATTAACCCCTACAGATATCCTCACATGCAGAAATCAGAAATAGAAAGGCAGATCAAAGACCTGCTGCAATCTGGTATCATACAGCCCAGCCACAGCCCCTTTGCATCTCC